AATCCTTGTCTAAGCATAGGAACAATCAGTTCAGAACCTCTTCACTCTAGCAAGTAAGTTTAGTTTTTTAATATATCCGGCCTAAAACATCATGAAGTAGAAAACCTACAGATTGCATTCAATATCACCGATAAGTACCACATTTGACTACTGGCTCATACCATTTGGAAACCAGTCCTCACATGACGACTGGCCTGACACATCATCCATCAGCAGGGTGCCCAGTGCAGAGTTGGACAGTCTTCCTCGCTCCGTCTCCAGAGTGGAGGCCCAGCTGGGAAACAGGCTTCTCTTCCAATAGCAATTAGATCTTTAAGATCAGGCCTTGGCAATTTGACCTAAAGCCATCCTTCCTCGCAACAAAGTCTCCAACATCTTCAGAGGAAGAGACCGGGAGTAAGGCAAAGGAGGAGAAATCCAGGTCTCCGCAGCCTGATTAGAAACTTTGTTGTGTCAAATAAACTTTGGCCACTGGAGGAAAGTACCCCATGGTCGCTCTGGCTTTAGAAAGATCTGTCCAGGGCTTCTCAATCTTCTTTTCACCCCTCTCTCTTTCCCTCTCTCTCCCCTCTTCTCTTGTTTCAAAAGGGGCCTCTGGTCAGCGCTGATTAATAAGTGTTTTTTGTTGTGAAGTTCTGAATAATGGAGGATGGCCGGTGACCCAGTAAAGACTAAACCTTGCGCTGGTTTATTGTGGCAAGCTGAGAAAGGGGCTTTAGGCCCGGGACCCCAAGCACTGACCCGCACACATCCCGCGGGTCGCCTATTCATTCTCGCAGCCCTACGGTCGCCCGGGCTCCCATTGTTTGCCAGGCAACAATGGAGATTTCGCAGGGAAAGTAAAGCTCTTTTCAGACTCCTCTCTGATGTTTTGCATTTAGGGAGACACCGACCTCCACTTTTTTCCCGACATTTTCCCTCACGGCAGCTAAAGCCGTTCGTTTTCGGGAAAACTTGCGTGAGTTTGGCGCTTGTTCGCCTAACATCAGTGTTAGGAGGAGACGAGAAGGGTGGGAAAAGGAGAGCCCCAGAGATTTCCTTTTTCTGCATTGCATTTAGAGGACTGAAGCTGCCTCTAGGGAGAAAGGGGAAAGGGGGGAGGGGAGAAGAAAAAGGGAAGAAAGCGTTTTCTCGCCCGGGTTGCCGGCGCGGCGGGGGCTTAGCGGCCGAGAGGCGGGCGGCCCGGCCCGTGGCCGCTCACGGCCGGCCAAGAAGTGGCGGGTTCGGCGCGGCCGCCGGCGGGCGAAGCGCGCCGCCGTCGCTGCCGGTTTCGCCCTCCCGTCTTCCTTCTCCGCGCCTTTCCCTGCTCCTCCGCTCTCCGAGCCAGAGGCGGCCCCGCAGGCCCCTGCGCCTCTGCCCCAGTGCGCTGCGGGGCAAACGCAGCCGGGCGGGGGCGCGACGGGAGTAGGGGCTGAGGCTCTGCAGGCCTGGGCCGCCTCTCGGTCTCTGAGACTGACTTGCTTTCCTGCACCTGGCCTGGGGAGGGCTTTCTAGTTTCTGCCCGGGCCGAGGGAGGCGGCTTGGCTTCCGCAGGGCCGGCCTGGGCTAGGGCTGCCGATGGGGGCGGTGGGGCTAGGCGAGGGCTCTCGAAGACTTGGCCGGGCCTGCTCGGGCCTGGGCCACTCCAGCCGCCTCGCCTCGGCGGCCCCCGGGTGGGCAGATGGAGGGCACCTCACCCCGAGACCAGCCAAGCGGACCCGCAGCCCCCGACGACTCGGCTGCCTCGGGCCTGAGGGTCTCGGCTTCCCCCCTACGCTCTCCAGCCGCCCGACACCTGCAAGCCTGGGTTGCCAGGTCAGCGGGTGGGGCGTCCAGGCTGGAGGACGGTGCGGAGCCGGAGGTGCCCTATTGCCAGGGGAGTGGAAGTCGGCCAAGGTTCTGCGCGCCTGGTTGTGCGGGGGCCCAGGCCGCGAGTGCTGGGAGGGGGCGCCTCGTGGGACCGCGCGAGGCCGCCCTCCCGGCAGGCCTCGTCCACGCCCTCGCTGCCGCCCCGACCCGCCGCGCTCGGGCTGTGCGCCCCCACGCGCATCCACCTCCCCCCCGGCGCGCGCCTGGGCGCGGGGCTAGGCTGAGCCCTCAGCGAGACGCGAGGGCGCGGGCGAGGGCGCGGGCGCAGCTCAGGCCGCGCGGCCTGGTGGGCGGCGGGAAGCGCGCACTGCGCCTGCCTGCTCCGTCCCAGCCAGCCGCCCCGCACTCCCCAACCGAGCCTTGACAGCTCTTCGAGCTGGGAGAGGAAGACTAGGACGAGGAAGGACTGAAAAAGGGTGAAGCGGCGGCGGGCGGCGAACTCTGGGCAGCCAGGGGGAGGAGGGCTTATTGTCCGGTCCCCCCAGTCCAATTGATATGCTAATCACTTTTCTGATGCCACAACAAAGAACACCTTTGCACTTTTAAAAGACTTTTGTGCCCTGGCTACAGAAGTTTATTATCCACTAATTAGCTACAACTTCTGGCAATGAGTTGGGTTACATTTTCATAAGCTCCAAGCCTGGGCGACGAAGTGCGCAGGGCTCTAGGAGGTTCGCGCGCAGGACAAACGCGAAACCTGGGACTGGAAAGAAATCGCCCGCCCAGTTTCCTGTGCAGAGGGCTGAAGGGGGAAAGGTGTCAAGAGAAAAGTTTTTGGGGCGGGGTTCCAGCTATTTGGGCCCAAGGTGGCAGGTGACCTTATTGTATCAGACTCAGTGATCTCCACCCTGAGAGCTGCGCGGAGGCGGCGGCTGCGGGCTGCCTTGCAGGTGTCGCGGCCCAGCCATCTGGGGTGCGTGATGAAAATCTCCCGCGAAAGTTGCAGCGCTCACCTCCGATCTCTCTCACCTTTTCCCTTACGGCCTCGACTCAGTAAACCGCGGGTGAGGGAACAGCCCATTCATAGGAAACCCACCGGCCACTGGGTTCCTTCCCAAGGTCTCCCCACCAACAAGGCTGAAATTCCAGGGCCCAGGAAGATGAGGCAAAGCTGGCATTGCTAGAGCTGGAGGAGGGTGAAGGATGCTGGCTAAAGTGCCCACCCGGGTGGTCTGAAGTCGTCACCTCCCAGAGCTGACTCTGCTGGCTAACCAGAGCAAAGAGCCACACCTTTCCAGCGGCGGGCCCGGGTGCTCACTGCGTGACCTTGCCTCTCTCAGACTTGGCAAGCCTTTGACGATCTTTAGCAGTCCCGCATCCCAGGTCAATAAACTGGAAACGGATAGAATGAGCATCATCGGTGAAAGATATAGGGCAGGGGGATGATACGCATTTCTACTAGTGCCTCCAAAAAGCTGTTGTCGTTCGCTGCTAATAAAATACCGGTGCGGTGAGGCCTTAGATCTGGGCTCAACCGCAGAGATGTTTTGTCTTATGTAATTCAAGCCCCCAAACCCAGCACCTCAGGATTGTATTATACACACACATGTATAGTCTTTCAATTTTTTAAAAAAACAATTCCTCTTTCATTTTTGGTTTTCTGCTTTTTGCAAACGACCCCGCTGGAGGTATTGTTGGATATTTCAAGCAGATGTCAGGTGGGTGTTGGCGGCCTGTGCGTCCTCCTGCTGTAGCATCAACCACAGAGTATGATTTGATAAATGCTCAAGGTGAAACATGGCCTTACTCAAAACCCCGGGGTGATTTAGGGGATAAGAGCGAATATTCAGAGGGGGAAAGTGGCGAGTTATATTGTTTCACTCCCTTTCGGTGGAACTAGATGCTGTTATCTGCGGTCCTAACCTCTCTGGCATCTGAGTGCAATGTTTGTGAACAAGCACTGTTAGAACTACAAAATGGGAAGGGGGAATGGGAGCCGACTGACGACTTAAGGGAATATTGCTGAAGAAAATACTGAAATAACCAAGATATTAATGATATTAGATCCCATGATCTCCCAGAAAGTACTCCTAAATTTCTCCCCAGCGGTAGCCTTGGGTGGAGTGAGGGAGGAGGTAGGTGGCGAGTGCAGGGAAGAGAAGATCTCTCTCTGTTGTCACCCTCGGCCCCCTTCATGGAGGAAGAACAATGGCCTGGCTTGGGGTTCTTTCTGAACGAGAAACTGTAGGAAGGCAGAGCTGCTCTTTGTGCCCCAGCCCCTTTAGAGGAGGGAGAACCCTACACAAGACCCCCCTGAGCATTGGGCGGTGTCTGCGAGATCAGGACCCCTCAGAGACTCGCTGAACGCTAAAAAGGCACCGGCCCTGTCGTCCCATACGGCCCACTTAGTGGCCGGAAGAAACCCGAGCAAAACCGAGCGACCTCAGAATTCGACAGGGGAGGAGGGGGGGAACTGAAACTACACACTCTCACATGTCTTGTCAGTACTCCCGCCCCACCATCCCGACATCTGATCACGATGATTTTGCTTACGTGTGTATTTCAGATTAAGGATTTATTTATTTATTTATTTATTTATTTAATCCTTCAGATCTTCCCATCCCATAAAAAGACTTAATTCCTTTCCAGGGAGAAGGGTTGACAAAAAGGCTCCATTTTAAAGCAATAGGGGATCATATGACTGTGACCTTGACGTGTGAAAGGGGGGAGGGGCGGGTAGATTTGGGCCCAAACCCTAGGCCTCCCTCTTTCTGGGGCATTCTAGGCCCTCCATAAGAACACCAACAAGAAGACGGATTTATTTTCAAAGGTTACCATTAGCAGTTCATTCGCTAAAGTTGGGAATTTGGTATTTTTATATTACGTGAAATACATGATTTAATTATACTCCAAAAACAAATTAAAGACAGGCCTTCTACACAAATTGGAGGCAGCTAAATGCTCTTTTGTGCCTGCAGCCCTCGGGTTGTTAAAGAGGCTGCTGATGCATGAGAAGTAAGTGACTGATTTAACTCATTGGGATGCAGGAAGCGACCTGCCCTCTTTTGAAAAAAAGCGAGAGAGAGAGAGAGAGAGAGAGAGAGAGAGAGAGAGACTTCGAGCTAGAGAAGAGAAGAGCGGGAGGGGAGAGGAGAGCAGGGAGAAGAAGTGGGGGGAGAGAGAGAGACTGAGAGAGAGAGAGAGAGAGAGAGAGAGAGAGAGAGAGAGAGAACGGAGAGGAGGGAGGCAGGGAGGGAGACCAAACCCCCGCTTTACTGCGTTGAAAGCCTCTGAATTTCAAGCAGAAAGTAGAAGGAGCCCCATACGGCAATGAGCGTCTTTCCTTGGGCTGCGTGTGCACAGCGTAGACAATGAAAGTCTCCATCCCCCTCCCCCATTCCCGCTAGGCTAGAGATTCTTGTTTTCGTTCCTTCTCCACGGTGGAAGACGTGTTCAATCAAATATATAGAGATGTGTTGATTTTTAAACAAACAAACAAACAAACGGGCCGAGATGCGGATTACCCAAAGGCGCGCCGGCTGTAAGTACTGTCTTTTGCTGCGTTAGCCCAGCTCTGCGACGCCGGGTGGGCTGGGAGTGTTCGCTTTAAGAGTTGGGTCGCTGCTTGTGTTTTGGCGTTTTTATTCACAGGGGCTGCCTCGAAGCTTACACTTTTCGCACGTGAGCGGGAGAAGTGTTTTTTTGCCCATTGTGGGCGTGCAGAACAGGTTTCGGGGTGACTTGAATGCGGTGACTTGGAGCTGCGGGCGGAGGCCGGCGGGAGGCGCCGGGCCAGGCAGGGGTTCCCGCGTCGCGAGCATCCTTGAGAGCGGCCGGCTCAGCTCCGGGCTGTAAGGTTGGTTCCTGGCAATGGATGGAAATCAGGTCACAGAGATCCCTAAGCTCCTGGGCTACCAGACGCGCATGGGACACAGGATGGAATTGGAAGGAGGGATCTGAAGAGGAGGGAGGGGATCCGAGTGCCCCCGGCCTAGATCGCAGCCCCGGGCAGCCGCGGACGAGGCCCCTTGGTTTTCGGGACCTATTCTTGCCCGGGTTAGCTCGCTCTTTAGCGTCGCGCCTTCGGTGCATCTTTTATCTACATCGCAAATAAAGGGTCTGCTTGCGACGAGGCCTGAGTGAGGGTAGGAGAGCGTGTGTGTCTCAGAGCGCCCAGAAGGGAGAAATTGTGGTTCTGGGAAGGTATTTTTTGGCCTCTAGAAAATGTGCAAGAATTCCGCGGGCCCAGGCTTTCTTTGTGTGGCGGGCAGCGCCAAGCGCTTTGTGCTTCGCAAGGAGAAAATGGCGAGTCCTATTGTGTTTAGGCCATTTTCTTCCGGTACGAGGATTTCCCCAAGTTCTAAATACTTTTTCCGAAGAAAGTAGCTTCCTTGTGCCCAGAAAAGTGTGAATCGCTGAGGCTCGGCCCGGTGGCCTGGCGTGAGTACCGACCTCAGTTTAAAACTAGGAGCCTGTTTTCTTGCCGTTGAGGTACTTGCATCAAAGCGCAGGCAGGACCGGTTTGTGCGGATCGGTGCCCTCCGAAGATCCGTAGCGACTCTCAGGGTTTCAGAAAATAAGTGTCTGTTTATATGTGTTTATATATATACACATACAAATAACATTTTTTTTCCTGATATTCTGAAGGGGAAAATGAAGGAGGAAAGACAATTAAATTTCTGGAGGGAAGAGAGAATATTTCTTCTCCTTTCTCCTTTCCCCCCTGGCAGAAACCCCAGGAGAGGTTAAATGTTACTCTGCGGGGTCAGTTAGCCTTTTCTTTTTTAAACCGAAGATGAAATGTTATTTTGGATGGAGGAATTATTCAGTATCTTAACCACTAGAGCATATGCCTTCTTTGCTTCCCTTGAAAAGAAGTATAGGGTGTTCAAGAAGGGATTTAGTTTAATGCTCTTAGTGCTTGTGTCTGTGTGTGTATGTGTGTGTGAGGTATCTATCTACGTGTCTCCATATAAAGATGTAAATATGGAGAGAGAAAAATGAGAAGGGTGTTTGGCTTTTTAAAAAATAATTTGTCATTTTAGTAAAATTTTCTGCATTTGTTAAACCCTATGTAAAGGTGGGCAAGAATGCCTATACAAGAATGTCTACGTAACTTTTCTGAAAGCAAAAAGAAAAAGAGTATTGCAGGTTGAAAAAATATTATTTCCTATTTACTACAATTCTTTCAATCCTTAAGTGGGGTGGTAATTTCATCAACTCAAAAATAATGAAATGCAAACTTTGCCTATCTCCTTCCTGTACTCTCAATTTGGTGACAAATAAAGAAAAATGAAAACAACTGGGATGGGGGAGAAAACTTGAAGCTTATAGAGTCCCCCCCCCACCTTTGACATCATCTTAAAATGTTAGGGAGTCAAATTTGTGCAGAAGCATTGTGACTTTCATTTTTCAAAAGACACTACTAGTTTCTCCCTTCATGTGGATCAAGACCATGGACAGCGAACTAATATTAAATTACTGAGCAAAAAGGACTCTAGTAACATTTTGTGAGACCAGAATGGAAGTTTACATTCAAAATATGTTGGCAGTCAAAAACAATCTTTATGATTTTTAAAAGGAGTTAGACTCTTTTAAAATGTGGCTTTTCAAACTCATTCTACCAAGTTTCAAAGAAACAATGATTTATATGTTCAGTTTTTACGCTATTTCAAATACTGCATGTTGTTTATTCAATTAAAATAAGATGAAGTCTACCTTTTGTTAGTGGCAAATAACATTTAAATCCTTCTGATTTAGATGTGAACTGTTTCTTTTAAGGCCTTGAAGCAGAGTGGGGATAGAGAAATTTTACTATTTTAGGCTGGCATTAGCTGAATGACACTAGAGCAAATTAAATTGATTTTTATCAGTGACTGAGTTTCTAAATGCATAGAATTGGAAAAATTAAATGCCACTTTGATAGACAAGGATAATATGAATGGAGATATAATCCGGCTACTCCTTTACCCCTGTTTAGACATTGTAGTCTATAACTGACAGTGCAATGTTGTGGGCAAACATTTATTTTTTTCCAAGAAAGTCACAGTTTTTTTTTCATATATACTGATTAAATTTGGGGCATGGGATTGGTTCAGTGTGGCTCTGAGCTGGAAATCAATTTATTTTGTTTTGTGCATTATTCGAATTGTCTTTATTCCTTTACAAAACTGAAATTCATTTAAGACCATTTCATCTGTGGGTTACATAACACATTCAAAATTGCTCTTTTAACTTTCTAGTTTCATGTATCTTTGGACTTATTTTGTAACCTGACTTTAATGTGACCTGTAAAGGCCTGGAACATCATATAAAGCAAATATAATATGCAAATTAGAGAAATTGAGATAGTTTATAATTAAACTTAAGATATCAATTTAAAGGGATGTCTGGGTTTATAAAGAAATTAATTCTTGATCTTTACTCATCATATTTGGCTATAAAGTGACCTGTAAAGGCCTGGAACATCATATAAAGCAAATATAATATGCAAATTAGAGAAATTGAGATAGTTTATAATTAAACTTAAGTTAAGATATCAATTTAAAGGGATGTCTGGGTTTATAAAGAAATTAATTCTTGATCTTTACTCATCATATTTGGCTATAAAGGAAACTGTAGTTCTTTGAATGTGCAGATTCCTGAAATTAAATACTAGAAATGTTGTGGACACATACAAACATACGCTTTTTTTTTTTTTCCTTTGGGCAACGTCTTGAAAGTACTTGAAAAGAGTATGCAATGACATTTGATGGTATCCTGATCAGGACCATGGTGAGGTCCCAGTGGTTCACCAAGTGGTGGCCCAGGGCTCTGGGACGCAGTGTTATGTTAGGAGAGAGTCATTGTTTGTAAAGTCACATTTGTCCGGGATGGCATTCGTGGTAAGATTAAGCATAAACCTAAGCCTTGACCTGGGGGAAGGATGGCAGCAGGGTTGAGAAGAGGCGATGCGGATAAGCTGTGCTTCTGCTGCTTGCGCACATAATTAAGAGGCGGTCCCTCATCTGGAGCGTGGGCTCTGTCCGGCCTAAGGTGCTTATTTTGTTGTTACTTGGCCAACCGAATGTGAGTGAACAAATGCCCGAGAGCTTAAAAGCGAGGCTCTAGATGCGATGTCGAGAGGGCTGTTGGCTCCCATCTCCATTTTAGAAAGAGGAAACCGAGAATGGAGATGTGGGCTTGCTTTGAGCGAGCCTGGGCATTGACAGCAGGACTGTGAGGGGAGGGCTGGAGAGGCTGGAAGCGCGACGTCTTAGGGAGCTGTCTTTGGGCCACTGTGCTGGCACCAAGGGGAGTGTAAGCAAGGGCAGGGCTCTTGCCCTTTTCCGCACCCAGGCGCGGCAATCGGGGGCTGCGCGCCTTCTGCGGCTCTTTGGTTTCAAGGACACAGCGAGCTGCTCAGGACTTTGGGAGCCAACATCTGTCTGACTGGTGACGTCAGCAGCCCGTGTAATCCTCTTGTGCTGAAGGCAGATGCCTTATTTGTTTGGCTGGAGCGAGCCATTAATCCCTAATTCTGGATCAGCAAGCGAGGGGGAAAGACCGGACCGCTCGACCCACCCCCTCCCCACCCCCACCTCCCACCTTAAAGCACCTCATACCACGGAAGCCTCTCAGCCTCCTCTTTCCTCCGCGAACGCGCTGAGCAGCGATTGAAAACGCTTTGGTCCTCTGCAGGTTTGAACAGGGCTAGCAGGTCTTTCTCCTTCGAATTTCTAGGGCTATGTGTATATGTAATTCTTTCTCTCATCGATCGTTTCGATTTTCTTGCGGGTCTTGCAGTTTGCAGGGTCCTAAGCGAAGAGGGGCGGAGAATGGAGAGTGAGGGTCTGGCGTGTGGTTTCAGGGAGGGGGCGAGGCTGAGGAAAGGGGGTGCGGGATGCGGGAGCGGCTGGGACTGCACAGAACGACCATCTGCGGATGTGTTTTTACGATTCCAGCCTCCGAATTCGCTTGTGTGGACGTGGCGGTGTCCGCGGCGCATGGCCCTCTCCTCGCGCTTCCGCAGCCGGGACCCGCGTTCACAGCCACCGTGCCGCCCTGCGGGCCTCGGGCTCCGTGCGCCGCGGGTCCCCTCTGCGCCGGGCTGAAGCCTGGGGACCCAGGGCGAGTCGGGGTCCTGTCCTCTGGTCGCCCTGTCTCCCTCCAGTACTCCCTCCCGCCTGGTGTCCCTTCTCTCCAGCCTCCGCCTCCTCCCTCGCGTCTCCCTCTCTAATACTGCGCTTTGATTCTGTTTTTCAGGGGCGCGTTCTGGGGTCTCTGCATTAAGACCGGCTCTCCGCGCTCTCTCCCTTCCTCGGACGCTGGAGCAGGAGCGGGCCTTTCCCTTGGGCAGACGGCGCCGTAGGGGACGCCGTGAAAAGAGCCGCTGCGCCCGCTGCCTCCAGCCCGCTGCGCAGAGGGCTCCGCCCGTAGAGGTCAACTCCCCTCGTCCCTTCCTCTCTCCTGCTCGCCCTCCCTCCGCCCGGCCCAGGCGCTGCCAGCCTCCCGACTCTTGCCGCAGTCTGAGAAGTGCGCGTCCGCCGCGCTGCCCTGAACTGAACCCCGAACCGGGCCCAGACCCGAGGTCGGCGCTCCCAGGCAGTGAGGAAGCCTTAGCGAGCAGCCTTTTCTCTCTGCAGCAAAACTATAGCCAGACCAGATGGGCCGCCCAGCTCTCTCGGGACTAGGCAGGTGCGGTTGAGTTAATTTTTCCGCATTACAAAGAAAGATGACCCAGGCCGCCCTTGGACTCTCATCTATTCCCAAAATCTCGCAACCAAAACCGCGGTAACGTAATCAGAGGACACAGAGAACAGGCATATCTATGTGTGTCTCTTACTAGCACACACGCGTGCTTATTTTCCCTTCTGTATGCTAGATTTCATCCCCGACAGCAAGAAATGATTGGCAAAGGTTTCTGCAGCAGAACACGCAATGGCGCGGTCCTTAAAAACCTGCCATTCCTTACAAGTGCCTTAGTAGGGATTCGGGGCGAACCAACTGGGTTAATTGCCTCCAGTAAAATAACACGATTACAAAATTAGATCTGTACCAGAGGGGTAATTAACTTGATCCACGCCGTCATTTGAAAACTAGATTTATAGGTGTATGTATGTGTTTAGGTGTGTAGTAAATGGCATGCAGATATATGCATATGCAGACGCAGACACATGCGTCGTCTACACTTGCACGGAACAGCCTAATTAACAGCGATTCTGGCAGATGTGGCAGGAGGCGAGCTGAGACAGGAGCTGGGCTTATGAGTTATGACTCTGGGGGTAGGGACTCAGAGCTGGGGGCGGAGGGTGAGCAGGAAAAGAAGTGTGGTAGTTACAGTGGGTCTGTTATTTTCCGGATCAAGATCAGAGACTCTGCCCTCCGTGTTCACAGCGGACCTTGATTTAATGTCATACAATTAAGGCACGCGGTGAATGCCAAGAGCGGAGCCTACGGCTGCACTTGAAGGACACCAGAGCATCTCAGGGTCAGACAGGGGAAAAGGCAAATGCAGGGGATTTGGGGGTGGTAGAATGAACCCAGCCCTTGCCCCATAAAGGCCCCGGAATTGATTCCAGACTCAGCCAAGTGTTCGAAAGTGAAAGGCTCATACTTTTCAGTTGGAGCCTCAGAAATCCGCAGGCGAATCTCCAAAGGGGATTTTAGGGGAGCTACATTGACAGCTGTCAGGAAAGCAGTAGTTCCCGTATGTGTGAATATTCCAGAGAGTTGGAGCGTTTGGAAAGCACTGGTTCTTCCAAGCGCAGGTAGTGTGATTGTCTGCAGTCCCGGGCCAAGCTGGGAGAACACAGCAGAAGAGAGAGGGGAGTATAGCATTAAATGGCTCCCTGACCATATTGCGCAGGAAATTTCAAATGGTTCAACTATTGCGAGAAGATCCAAACAACACCCCCCCACACACACACACATTCCCCCTTGACTTTTCCTCTTCCCAGTCTTGAGGCGTCCTTGGCTGGTTTTAAAATGCAAAGGTAACTTTCTTGTTTTGGCACTGTCGCAGTGGCCAAATCAGTCAGAGGACTAGGATAAGAGAAAAGGACCAGGTCAGAAACTTTAGAAGGACCTGGTCAATCAATTTATTTGGAAGCCAATGAGATGGACGATGTTAAGGTAGTAGTTCCGCACCACGGCCTTGGAGCCAAAGAAAAACCCAGGCTGAGAAAGCGAGCTTTGATAGATGTCTTTGTTCTGCTTTGCCCTGCAGGGGCTGGAAACAAAGGAGAGGAGCTAAGAGGATGCACCGAAGTGGCCGCGCCCTCCGCGCCTGGCGCTGTCCGCGGTGCTGACCGTGACCCTCTTCTCTCTCCGTAATTAAACTAGAAAAGCAAGAGGACCATCCCACCCCCACCTAAAATAATAATAGGTTATTAGGTTATTTGCAAAACAAAAATTAAAAGGAAGGAAAGGCCACACACAGCGGAGCAACATTTCACAGAAATAGTTCACCGTAGCTGTCGCCACACTTGGCTGGTACTTTTCAGTCTTCACCTAGGTATGCACACATACAGCCAGTGTATTGGAAAGAATTTTCGGTTTATTTAGGCTGAAACTCGAATCTCAGCGGTGGGAAGGACTTGCAAGAAGGAGATTGAGGAGAATGAAGGCTTTTTTTTTTCCTTCTTAAATCATCTTCCTTAAAACATAGAAACGTAAGATTCTCAGCTGTGGATCTCAGTGCTGATGTGGTCACCGAAGGGACTCGCGACGGACTCAAGTGTGAGCCTCGAGGCTTAGCAGGAAGGGATGGGACGGGGACCGACTAGGTGGGGCAGGGCAAAAGCCCACGCAGCCTGCCACCTTGGGCCAGGCTCTTAGCAGGACAACCTTCCGAAGCGGGTCCAAGGGACCAAGGTCTGCAGACCGCTGGAGTGCGGAGGAGCCTGCTCCGCGCGTCCCCGCCGGCGGGAGGCACTGGAGGGCCCGGAGGCCTGAAACCGCACTGCGGAAAACCCGACCACAGCAGCTTCCTCCTCACGGCTCCCGCGGACGGAAAGAGGCAGAGCGCTTTCCTGAATCTTACGCAATGAGGATATTTGCTTTAGGAGTCAGGGTCGGATGGGTCAGCATTGATATAATATATCAACACATCTTTAAATTTCTTAGCATATTTCATCGTCCTCATCTAGATATTAATAGCATTAAATATAAACAATAAAAATTTAAACTCCCTAACTAATGAATCAAAATGGGAAGGGAGAGAGAGAAAAGCAAAACCATACAATTCGTGGCCAGCGCTAGGCTGTCAAAAGAAATTGCTATGCGTTTGTTTATAAATTCACAAACATAAACGCTGTTAAAGTTAATAACAGATAAAATAATTCATATCAGACAGTAGAGGCAGCTGCACCGATTTTGATGCATACCTTGGCAATGACCTAAAAGAGATGTTTTCATTAGATTCGTTCCTTTACACCTGATGGAGATGTGTCAAATGATTCATGAAATAAAGCGGCCAGTCGCAATATCCTAAGCGTGCTATCTCCTTGCCCCCTCGCTCAGGGCGGATTTTATTTGTCCTCGGATTTTATAACTCTGCAAGTTAGGTGCTTCACATCCACTGATTACTTTGGTTGCTATCTAATGTCATACAATTTGACAATGGGCAGGCAAAGCACACTGGAAAATAGAGGCTACTCAAATAAAAGGAAAGGGTTGGGAATATTCCTCTTGTGCCAATTAAAAGCAATCACTGGAAACTGAAATGAGTTTAAAGCATTACACGTTATCATGGAAGCCATGATTTCCTTCCAGTATTCATCCAATTGCACTGATCTCCTGCGTCCACATCGACGTGTATAATTCACAAAGCAACAAGGGTTGAAGGCTGCAAAATAGTCCTACCGGAGTTCTGCTGTAATTCATATTATCTAATAGGAACACACCTAATCCCCCTCATCCTAATCCTACCTGTTTAGGACATTCTAAACTCGTCCTTCAGAAAGCTTAATCAGTTTAAAAATTACTTCCAAATAGACATGAAATACGTGATATGAAAGAGAGAGGGTAAAATACTACTTAAATAAGGGAACACACAATTCAGTAATTTGGTTGCAGAGATTAAATCTAGAGTGGTTATTGAACCGTAGTGTTTCTAGATTTTAAAGACTATTTATTTTCTATTTCTTTTGAAGATAATCATCCAGTTTAATGTCTATTACAAATTTTCCTCCTATCAAATTGTATGCGCAGCAGTTTTGCAATGAAACAACCCAGGCATCGCAATTGGAGAACTTCGGCATGGCGTGCCGTGGGAGTCCTTTGACAATCACAACTTTCCTCTAGTGGTCTGAAATTAAAGCTTCTCAGAATAATTTAGGGACAGCTTGACCCCTTGAGATTCTCAACGACAACCCTCCAGGGAAATAGTATGTTTCCTTCCTGGGAACAAGATGCTAGCGCAGTGCATCCGGAGGTATCGGGTGTCAACAATGCCAGAGCGCCCTCTGCTGCCTGAAAGAGGCAGGACACCAGTTACAGAAGCCAGATGGCAGAGTCGCAGTAAGCAGAGAAAACGTTAAGCTCTTAGAAACATTTAATCTGTGAAATTTAAAAGCTCTCATCCTACTCTACTTTTGAAAGGGTCACCTGATTTTGATTTCGCGAACTCCTTGGGATATTTCCTCTATTCTTCAGGGTAATGAAAAGTCAGTATTTTGAAGTTTTCAGTCTGTCATTTCTGCAGTTATATTTCTCCACCCTTTCTCAAATTTTATATGAAAACACGAAATTGAAAATTGGAGTGAAAATTTGTGTAAAACAAATGAGTGGAGAAGACTTCTTAGTCTGTCCAGATAACTAAGATCTAATAGAGGAAATAAAATTTTAATTAAAATAAAGACACCAAACACATGTTGTTTTAAAAAAGTAATTAAAAAAGAAATTAAGGCCCTGTGTAAAAAAATGTTTTGTTGTCTTGTTGTGACAGTTAACCTATATTTTGCTTAGATTTTAAGTTTTGAAATGACAAAATGAATTATGTTTGAGGAAGAAACTGAAAAATTTGCTTCAGATTAATATGTATATTCCTTTTGCCCTTAAAACCTTTGTAATAAATTTATATACATACTCAGCTTGCAAAGTCTTCTTTATAAAAGAACCCACTCTGAGAAGAAGTAATCAGATATGGTAACAGCATGCAAAAACCCATAAGAAGTGTTATTTGCACTAAAAGTAAGTTTTTCAGTATAAAGCAATCTATTCTCAAATGAAATGGAGGAGATTTTTCAAAAGATTAAAACGCTTTTTAATTATTATATATTATAGGGTTTATATTGATTAAAATAAATGTATAGCTATATTAATTCAACATTGTGAATTTCAGAATTGCAGCCTATTTCAAAACACACACACCTTTGCCATGAAGACTATTGTTTAATATATCAGTGCTAATGTAATAAAATGCTTCGATTAATTTTGTGGTTGTTAAATAAATCTTGTAAAAATAAAGTTCTGTTTATTTTATGGTGTCAGAATGAAATAGCTGCCTAAAATCACTTATTTTAATTCTAGCCTTTAAATGAAAATTCTTATAAGACTATTAAGTATAATAGTGTTGAGAATTTTAAGGTAAAATTTTAAAAAGTGTATGATTTTACAACGCGGTATAATAGAAAAAAAGTCTCTTGATTAAATACTAAACCAAGTTAAATATTTGACCAAGCATGTGAAATTCCGTAAAACTATAGGTACATTTGTCTTCTGAAAGCTACTTCTCCAAAGAATGCATTTACAAATTATGGCATAATAAGTGAAAAAAGTTACTAGAGCTTTTGTGTTTATATTCTAAGCATTTTTTTCAAAAATTAAAATACTATTTTTTCTTTTACTGAATCTAAATTTCTTCCTAAATAAATTTATATTTTACCCAGAAGAGAATAAATGCAGTGAAATAATTTCATTATAGTCCTAATAGTTATTATAATAAGTTTGAAGATGACTTTTAAGTAAATAAAATGCATAATACATATCTAAACTTTTTTTTCTATTTTCGAAACCATTTGCTCTATTCCTAAAAAAAACTGAAGA